GAGGACCTGTTAATAAAACAGATTAAATAATCTGGCATAAAATAATATTCAAAAATATTTAAGACAAATGTATGAGACTTCGTTGCACACCGAAAGGATATATGGTTTGCATACATTCAAAAATAAACAAAAAGAGATAGTTTGAAATATTTAACTTGAATTGCTGAGAGAAAAAAAATTGAAGTGTCGCATTCTGGTTAGAAGCCGATAATATAATTAGCGGGTAATTTTTACGCTGGCGAGAACTTCAACGCTGGTCGCGAGGAACGGAAACGAGGCCTTTCACATTACTTCAGACATTCTTTGATTAATTTAATTTTTCAAGATTTTCATTGATCTAAAAACAATTTCACGTAATCTCGCGAATTCTTTTCCTTCTTTTTCCTCTCTCCTTCAAATTTGAAGGGAGTGGATGAAGGTTATTATTATTATTTCATACCCACTATAAGGTAACTCAAGAAGTTGACAACTTTCTCTATTTCACTGAAACAGACGTTAAACACTTCTATTTCACCTTCCTTCTTTCATTTTCTGATTGAAATAAAATTAAAAAGAAAAAGCTTTGAAATTATCTAACATTTATAAAATGTTTAAACAATTCTCATTAAGACCTGATATTCAAATTTTATGTTTTTCAGTCTATGTTCCTGAAGTTAAATTTTAAAAAATAACATCCATTCAGAGAAAAATCTACCAAGTAATTTTTATTTTTCATTTTCACCTTATATATAATGAATTAGTTAGCTTACAGAATTATCCTGTTAACTTTTTGTTCCTGTTAATGTAAATTAATTATTATTAAAACTATGTATGCTGGTAATGTCTATAACCGTATCATAGTGAAATAAGTAATTTCTTTATCTTCTATAAAACAGACACCTGTAGATGTGACAAAATAAAATTTACAAAAATTATTAAAACTAGAAAAATCCGTGAAAGTTTCACGGATTTCCTATTTAAATATTCTGATGAATCTTAATTCTTAACTAAGTTAATAATTGAATAAGCTCATGACGAATTCTGCGACAATAAAATCCCCTTGTCGCATCGTTAAATATTTGAGCTTAACGACTTTAACAATATATTGCAATGAAATGAAAAAGATTTGAAATTGACAACTGTTTCCATTTCATTGAACTTCTATCTTCCCTCCTTTCTTTCTTTTATGTTCTCTCTAAAATCAAATAGTCTCTTTTCCTCTCTTTCAACGCGATCAAAACGAAGTAGTCCCCTTTTTTTTATGAGCTATTCGCTGGAGACGTTAAAAACGTTTATCTTCCATTATTTTTTTCTGACCAAATCCCCGCCTTACGAACATTTCTCTTAATAATAACTAAAAAAGAAATAATTCAGCAGACTATGTTATTTTATTTAATTTATGGCAATTGGATTTTTGGTGATTGCCTTACTCGTAAGATACCCTGGGTTTGAAAATAGCACTTTCATCTCAGTCGCCATTGATTCTCGGCTTTTGGGCTCGGGGAGGTTCAAATAATATAAAGCCCAAGCCCCAAAGAGGCTTAGTGACAGTGCCTCTCCTTTAGGAAGGAGGATGAGGCGTCCTCAAAAGGAGAAGTATCGAGTGTGGGTTGGAGCAATTTTTCTACGGTATTGCAATTAGACCCAATTTAAACTGACCTTGTGTCACATTTGGTAGCGATGTGGACGTACTGAAAAATATTGCTTCTCAGCGTTTTGGCTGAGATCAAAGTGTAGTATCTGTTTTTATCAGCTTAATCTCATTCTATCTATCTCTCCCCTTCTTTTATCTTCCCGTCTTTATTTCCCTTCTTTTATTTTCTCACTGAAACCAAGTCATGTTTTTTCCCGTCTTTCCAGGTTATTAAAACGCGGAATAGTTCATTATTTATCAAGTATTGACTGGACGTAACAGTCGTGCTAACTAACAAAGAGACGGACAAGCACAATTATAATAGAATTATTGCTTGTCTGAAATTTATTCCGTATTATTTTTATTTTTGGTTTCTTTCTTCAACTATCTTCAGACTTAGTTGATACATCATTTTGTAAAATGTTGCTTTCTGAATTTATTATACAACTATATTTTACATGCTTTTAATCAATTAGTATAAACAGACACACTGTTTCTGCAATCACATCTAAAATTTACCTAATTTGTAATGAATAAAGCGACTTTTCTTTTAGTTGGTGAAGGAAGTTAATTTTGTTCTTTCGTTGTACATTTGCGTTTATTGCAATAAGTCAATAATTGTTAATAGTAAGGTGCTTTCTAATAATATGCATAGTTGTTAATTAACTAATTACTTGATATTAATAACAAGTTCCTAAAAATGTTCACTATAATTATTATTGATTAGTAATTTAGGTCTCTACATCTCCGCCCCAAGTCCCGGATCAACGTTGCATGGCTGCAAGGCCTTTATAGGTATCACCTTTTCTGCAGTATAAACGGAGCTAAACGACTCTACTAACACAAGACATAATAAAAATACATCACAAAGCAGGTTATAATATTCGTTACTATGTGACTACGCTAGTTTGTAAATAGGACAAAGAGTTGATTATTTTAGAACACAAACGCTAAAGACCAATAATTTACGGTGTCTTGAAAATGTATATATACGCCGATAGCAGATAATGTAAGTTTCGTAAAACAAGTTTGTACACAGCAGTGGAAGTATTAATGATTCAGAAGTGAAAATCATTTAATAATCGTGAAAATTTAACAAAATACACCATTATTTTTCACATGGGTAGACGAATTTGAGTATCATTTGATCTATTGGCAATAACAGTGTTGTAAATTCTTTTTGGCGTGATGAAGCAAGTTTCTACGAAATCTTTTGAGCTTATATCTTAAAATAATGTCATTTATTTCTCTTAGAAAATATCTACGACAAAAATAATACAAACAAGATGAATTTATATAACATTTGAAATTTCGAGAATGATTTCAATCGACACAAGAAGAAAGAAAAAAATGCAATAAAAATGTAGAGGAAATAAAAATAAGTCTGACGTTTATATTTTAATTCGGAAGTCAAAGATGTTAAGAAACACCCTTGTGTTTTTTTTACGAAAAATATTTTACTTAACCCAAGCTTTTATATAAACATATAAAACATCAACGACGTTTATCTAACAATCATATATATATATATATATATATATATATATATATATATATATATATATATATATATATATATATATATATAATATATATATATATGGAGCCAGTGGAGCAATGTAAGTGAAGTTATTACAGTGATTTTCTTAGTTTAAAGATTAAACGAAAAAATATCTATAAATCTGTTCGAAATAACTTCAGTTCAGCGTGTGTGTCTGTTCGCCTGTAAGCCCCTGTTCCGAAGAGGTTGATGTGGACGTCAAATGTTTCAGCTTTCGTTCTTTTCTTCATTGCTTTTCATTACTTTAATAAATGATCTCCGTCCAAAATTGCATGACACAGCTTCCTACTCCACCTTTTACATTTTCCAGCAGAAAAAAACGGCCTACACACACTTCCCCTCTACTCCCACTATTAATTCTCACCGTCACTCTAGTTATCGTTCTCCTCCGACTTCTACCCATTGCTTGCTGTTGTTTCCTATCTATTTTTCTTCTCTTCCTACACCTCCTTCTAAGTACGGCGTTCATTTTCCTTATATAATTGAAACAAATATACAAACTGTAACCCCAACCTTTTTTTTTTTTCACTTTCTCTCCCTCTCTCTCTCTCTCTCTCTCTCTCTCTCTGTGTGTGTGTGTGTGTGTGTGTGTGTGTCCCCAATTCTCTTACACGTCTCCTTCTGATGATGTCGTCCGTCACCGGCGTGACATCTTGTCGGGTTGACAGTTCCGATAACCTTACCAATAATTCTTTATTATTTTCAGAACAATATGTGGGACTGCAGCCCTCATTTCGTTCGCGGGTATATGCTCATATTCTTTTTCTCTCATTTTTTTTTTTTTCCAATTTTTTTTCCATGGGCGTAAACTCCCTCGACATCTCGCAGTGGACAGACTGCCCAAGCAAAACGAATCAGTTGAAATTATAAAAAGTCAAATACATTAACAAAAAGGCTGATCCGTCGCCCCGATCGTACCTAGTTATTTTCTAAGAAAATTAAATTTTATACACACACGCACACACATACACACGCACACAAACATATGCTTAATATATACATGTATAGATATAAATTTTATATATATAATTTATATATTTTATATATGACTGTGCGTAATATATAATATAAATATATAAATTAAATCCGTATATATGATTGTATTTGTATAGTATGCATAAAATTCAAACATATATAAAAATATATATAAATACATGGGAATAATTCATATTAATATATGCGGGTGAACATTTGAAAATTCATATACATACACATACACACACAGAGAGATACACACATACACACACAGAGAGATACACACATACGCACACCCACCCACATACATGCATACATACATTCATATATATATATATATATATATATATATATATATATAAGTGATTGGATCAAAAAGTTGATAGCCTGAGATATAGTTATTAATTGAATTTAGCTCAGAATCGTCATTGAATATATTTCGATTTTTATGAAAATTCACCAACGAATATTAGGCAAAGACAATGTTGAAAAATAAGCCTTTCTCATGTAAAATAATGTTTTTTTTGATAATTGCGCTGCGGACATATATATATATATATATATATATATATATATATATATATATATATATATATATATATAAAAAAAAGTCCATCAGAGGACGAAATGCGTTGGTAAAAAAGCGTTAATGTTCTCTTTATTCGTATATATATATATATATATATATATATATATATATATATATATATATTTTGTGAGTGTGTGTGTATGTATGTATATATATATAAAGATATATATGTATGTATATATATATGTATATATATATATGTACGTATGTGCCAATGTATATCTATCTATTGATATATATATATATATATATTGTTTAATATCTGCAATAATTATGAGAAAAGAGAACTTAATATCGAAAACTGAGCGCTTGAGCTTGAACATATAAATTGTGTAATCATAGAAATCAACGCTGCATGGCGACTGTCATTTTCACTCATCGGAGGATCTCACATCATATTTGTTTTTATGCGTATGTTTATCTGTGTGTTTGTTTATATAAAAATATATATATTTGTATATATATATATACATATATATATATATATATATATATATATATATATATATATATGTGTGTGTGTGTGTGTGTGTATACACACACACACATATATATATGTTAGTGTTTATATAAGAATAATCAACTTGCGCAAAAATTATGTCTATAAAATTATACATAATTTGTAAGTGCTGATATACATTCAGGTAAACATAATTTAATTATGTAAATCTAGCTATTTCTTGCAACATGTTTCTGTCTATCTATCTAACTATACATACACACACACACACACATATATATATATATATATATATATATATATATATATATATATATATATATATATATATATATATATATATATAGCCCTGAATAGTGAAGGCTCACGAAACTTCAGAAGTCAATATGACAGAAATAACACCACTCAGTTAAGTGATAAGTTTCTCCAAATTAATTTTAATAACACTCGGTCCTTACCTTTTGATTTTGAGCACTTTATGATAAAAACTTGCCTGCGTGTTTGTACATGTGTTTCTATGCGCATGCATGTGTATGTATGTGACTATATATATATATATATATATATATATATATATATGATTGGATGAAGATTGAATTCAAGCAATGTCCATCTTTATATTTTATACTTAGATGCGCTCTATACCTGATATTGAGCACTTTTATCCATAAGTATACCATACATACATACATACATATATATATATATATATATATATATATATATATATGTCACAACATAGTTTTTAAAATGCATAATGATCTCACCCTGTTCATGTACTTTATCTATCTATCCATCTAAGTCTGTACTTTCTATCTAAGTCTGTTCTTTATCTATCTATCTATCTCAGTTCTTTATCTATCTATCTATCTTTCTATCTGTCTGTTCTTTATCTAAGTCTGTACTTTATCTGTCTATCTATCTATCTATCTATCTATCTATCTATCTATCTATCTATCTCAGTCCTTTCAACATATCTCCTCCTCGTACATTCCGACGTTACAATATACAGGCTATATACGCCTATACATCTGTAA